GCATGTTCAGTCCCAAGTTGGAAACAACAGTGACACCAGGAGGGTGATTGGAAGGAACGTACCCCCAGCTCTGAATTTGAACAGTGTTTCATTACTGGACTTCTGTGCAAGCCACAGATTGTCCATAATGACCACAATGTTCAAGCATAAACTTGTCCATCACTGCAATTGGCACCAGGACACTCCAGGCCAGAAGTTGATGATGTACTTTGCAGTCTAACCTTCTGACCTCCAACTGCATATCTTGGCACCAGGACACTCCAGGCCAGAAGTTGATGATGTACTTTGCAGTCTAACCTTCTGACCTCCAACTGCATATCTTGGACACTCTGGTTAAGAAATGGGCAGAGTTGTCCACCGATCAGACCTTGTGGTGAGCTGGATATGCTGGAAGAGAAGTAGGCCAGACAGACTTAGCAGGCACAAGCAAGTAGGGAGGGTCTGATGGAAACATCTGGTTCAGCCCTCAGTAAGGGACGTGTTCAACTCCCAACTCTTGGAGAGCTTCTCCCAGATTCTGGGGGAGGCTGGAGACATGGAATCCGAGTGGGCCACGTTCTCTGCCTACTTTGTTGATGCAGCCGCCCGCATCTAAGGTCCTAAGGTCTGCTGTGCCTGTTTTGGTGGAAATCCGACACTCAAGTCCTGGACACCAACTGTAAGGGATACCATCAAGCTGAAGAAGGAGACTTATCGATTCTGCATAAGAAGGGGAGCCAGAGGGTGTGTTCCAAATATAGAGGGATCATACTTCTCAGCCTCCCCCAAAAGGACTATGCCAGGGTCCTGGAGTGGAGAGTTCCGCTGATTGTCGAACCTCAGCCTTAGGAGGAGCAGTGTGGTTTTTTTGTACTGGCCTTGAAACAGTAGACCAGCTCCGTCCTGCCAAGACCTACAGCCTGCACATGGGCGGTGTGCAGCTGAGTGCACAGGATGAGAATCACTCCTCCAAGGCCATGGTTGTCAACCGGAAAAAGGTGGCTTGTCCCCTTCAGGATGGATAAGAGTTCCTGCCTCAAGTGTCTTATATCTTGGGGTCCTGTGAGGGGATAATGGAGTGGGAGATTGGTGTGGGTGCTGCTTTAATGCAGACACTGCACACGTCTGTAATGGACAGAGCTAAGAGAAAAGGTAAAACTGTTGATTTATAGATCAGTCTACTTTTCTACCCTCACCTATGATCATGAAATGAGAATCATGACCTGGAGGTACTATGTATCTCGGCTGGCCTGGGAGTGCATGAGATTTCCCCCAGCTGAGCTGGATGAAGTGTATGGGGAGAGGGCAGTCTGGGAATCTCTACAATCTGGTGTGGGATAAAGCAGAAGACAATGAGAAAGAAGGCAATTCTTTAATAATAAAATCATATTTTTATTTTCAAACCTTTGTATTTGTATTCAATTTTTGTAAATAAAAAGAACTTTTAAAAACTAAAAAGCCCAATGAATTAAAATTCAAACACAAAGAAAACAGTAGCTTTAGGAAGAAGTCATAAAGCTTTCACAGAAAAGCAAATCTATGCCATTAACTGCATTAATTGTTTTCTTATACTAATAAGTTTAAATCTTTTTCTGAAGGAAGTATTTATCAAGTTGGTGGTTCTTATTCTTTTTACTCACTCTATTCAGCAGATTGCTTTCTCCAACTATTTTGAAGTGAATCTTAAACGTAATCAAATCTTGATATTAATTTAACATAACTCAGAGGGAAAAAAATGTAACAGACTAAAAATATAAATCAATAAAAATATATAATTTTAGATACCACCAATTATGGCCTAAAAATCACACACCAAAATATGAGTCAGTCATTGCATAACACATTTGGATAGTAAAACATGCTGATGTTTTGTTTGCAGGTTATTAGGTGGCAGTAAAGCCATTTTTTTTTAATATGCTGTTATATGCAGCATCTAAGTGCATTATTAGAACCACCAGCTATGCTTTACTCCAATTATGAACAAACAAAAGTGCAATATATCTAACATATATCCCAATATATACTGCAGCTTTTATCCTGACGATTTCCTTAGGAACCTGACTTTAAACTTGACTGGAAACAAACTTAAATCTAAAGGTGTAACTTGGCAGGCCTGACATAAATGGTGTTGATGGTTTATAAGAGCTTCAGGAGGCTGTCCTTGAGTTCTGGTTTTAGAAGATTTCCTGAGGAAATCCCTTATCAGCCTGTAGATTTGTCAATTAATATACTGCTAAAAACTTTTTCTCCAGTTTTTCTTTTGGACAGTATTATCTTTATTATCAGCTTTAGATCTCAGCTCACCTGACACTAATTATAAAGTTTGAAACTTCCTCTCAGAAGTTGAGATTTCCTGCGACTGGGACTGAGTTAAAGCTGTCAGAGCCACTGAGCTCACAGCTGCACTTTTAATTTGAGCAGCAGGAACAGGCTGTTCTCATCAAAGGAGGGAAGGTTGCAGGCATTTTTGGAGAGACAGATTTGGGCAGCTGCTCTGTCCTAATTCATGTAAGTTATTTAAAACAAACTTAGCTGCAATGACGAAGTTGGGTTTAAATATTTTAAGATGTCAGCACAGTTATGAACTAATCAGACAGATACATTGACTGTAATTTGGTTTTACAGAGCAGTTACAAAAAAGCCATGAAGTTTTCTTAAATGCTGGTGTTGACTGTAAAAATAACAATAAAATATCAACTTGAATCTGGAAAGATCCAACCAGGTCATCTTTCATAATACCAGCCCATACCAGTGCTCCACCTCCACCTAGCTGGCATCTAACTTAAAGTGGAGATCTGTCTGTTACTCATTCATTCACAGGTCATTATTATTTCATCAGGCCATAAAACCCTCTCTTTGAACACTCTGTCTTCAGATATTTCTTGGCTCAGTCTAAAAACTTAAGCTCATGTGTGTTGGTCACTGGAGAATAGGTTTCACCCTTCCTTAGCTAAGCCATCTTTTTAAACTGGAATATCTTGTAAATAAAGATACCCTAGTTGTGTTGCAAGTGTAAAATAAGACAGAAGTGGAAGATAACAGTTTTCTGGAAGATTTATGCTTGAATCTTCGCGCATCTTTCACAGTTATTTCTTTCAGTACATTTTCTTTTAATCCTGTTGACCATTTACGACCAAACTTTTGATGGCTCTTTATACCAATACCATAATATCTTGACCAGTGATGACATGTTTAGCTGCATGTTATCATTGAACTGCTGATCATTATCATTACTCAAGCTGATTGGGTATCTGCCTCTAATGTCGAGTTTTTTAGCCAATCACAGCAGCAGCTTGATTTGTTTCACAACGAGCGGAATCAACCAATAAATCAAACTCTTACCAAATATGGTTGGAGGGACGTGGAACTATCTACTTATCTACTATCCACAAAGGCTCACTTTTTAAAAGAGAAATAGAGGTCGTTCCAGCTAAAACCGCTACAGCCATGTTTATTTTATTTCAACCTTTCACCTCTGGATGATCTCATACATGTGACTGCATTTCATTGGTCTGAAATATTTCTCTATTGAAGCTAAAGCAACTGCTGGCCTCTGGTACGATGTACTTTAGGCAGTTTGTGAATTCACAATTCTAACGACAATTCATCTTAGTTGCAAGGTAACCATTATCCAGTCTCACCAAGCTTAACCTTCTGTATTTCTCAAATAAGAGTCTGAACAACTTTTTTGGAAAGGAAAACTGTGCAGTTCTATCTGCAGCAAGAAGTGGTTTTAAAAAGTTCTGACTACAACTCTGATTGATATTGTCAAACAAACTTTTTCTGACTTGTATGTGTGAAAAAGTGTTGAAAGCCATGTATTAATTAGATTCCATTCGATCATTTTGTCAATCACAATGTGGCAGCTTTGGTCCTACAAGGCCAATATTTTGCATGCTGTCCATGCTTTAGCACAGCTTCTATCACAAGCATAATTTCTATGTTAAAGCAAGGAAAAATATTTTAAAAATGCAGAGGCAGCATTGACCAGCCCTGGTCCACCATCAAAACATACTAAAATCCCAGTGAAAACTGTTAGTTGGATTTAGCTGATTCGTGGAAAAACATAGAAAGGTCCAAGAAGTGTGATTACCCTTGCGAGATCTTATATTTCAGGATTCTATTTAGATATTAAACAGGATATTGCTGCTTTTCCTGGTTAATTTCAGAACACAAATTTGTGCTGTGAATTAGCTCTACATCTGCTGTTCACATGAAACAACTTAATACTTCATGCTGCAGTGACACAGACACCTCTCATTTGGACTTAGGGTGCCCCGTGGTTTTTGCAACAGCTTGAGGGAGGAAAATGAAAACAAACAGATGTAAAGCTTGACCTCTTGTCAGAGCTGATGTAAATGTCCTCTCCAGGAAAAATGTAGAAATGCAGGATGTTAGTTCAGGGTAAAATGCAGCTCCTTTGCTGGAATGCCCTTGGGATGAGTGTCAAATCCCCACTTGATCTTTAAACTGTGAGAGATTCACATAGTTCATATCAAAGTAAAAACCATTGCTAAGTTTTTGTGGTTAAGCTATCACACCAACAGGAAGAAAGTTGGATGGATGAAGCATGCCAAGATGCTGTGACCGCAGCACAAATGACTCACAAGTCTGTCATCTCTCCTGTGAATGTTCATTCCTCATCTTCAGAGTTGAATACATGTCCACTACATAAATACGTGTGTTTGGGCAGCCCGTGTCAACATTTAAGCATTTCTCTATGCAAATAGTATTCCCACACTTCTATTTTTTTCTTTAATCTCAACAAAATCCTCTCAGTTGTTACATCCATCCCTTTACTCCCCCATCACAGCACTGCACACTAACAAACACACAAACACACATACATGCACACTTGCCAGCTTCACCATAGACTTTGGAATTCACTGTTGCCATGGCAATGGACTAGAGCACGCTCTCTCCCATCGCTTGTTCTTTTCTGTTGCTTTTTCTCTCTCTCTCTTTCTATCTATCTCTCTCAGTGGAGGCAATCCAGCTTCTCTTTTTTATAGGGGGGCTTGTTTTTCCCATTGGCATTTGTTTTTTTTTAAATCTGATTTTTTAAAACTGCCATAAAATCATCTGAAGTTTAAAAAAAGGCTTGTTTTCATGCTTTTGTCCTGGAGAATCCTGTTTAAAATTGAAATCACCACCTACCTCATTTCATCTATGCTTTCTTCACATCCCATTCCCTTTCCTTTGCTTCTGTCCCTTTCTCTTTTGTCTTTTCTGGCAGTCTCCCTCATCTGCTCCCTCCTCACCCACCTTCCAAACACCACCTCCTTCTTCCCTTTCTCAGTAGCAGAAGATGACTGCCATGACAATTCAATGAGAGGAGAGGATACCGCATGAAGCACCCACCACTTGCTGAGAACAAGCAAAGGAGTGCCCAACATAGAAAAAACAGAGACAACTAAAAAGAAAAGAGACTGTGAAGAAGTAGGAAGGGAGATCAGAGGAAGTGGCAGTGATAAGAGGGGAGGAGAAGGGGAGAGAAAGCGAAGGATAAACGGTGGATGGAGGCGGTTCGGACCGGGGTTACCAAGCTCTCTTCACTAACGAAGAAGAAGAACAGCAGCAGCAACAGAAGCAGCGGTAGGGGGGACAGAAGATGGAGACGAAAGGGAGAAGCATACCCTCAGGTAACACACTTGCACACACATGTGCATTTACATACAGCCTCATATGTATCTGGATTTATATATCCACACATACGCCACAAATGAAGCAGGTAACAGAGAAAGACAAACTGTCATGCAGGAAATTACCCTTATATCCACACTAATACAGGCGCTCACCTTAAACTGCAGATGTGTCAAGAGGTCTGATTTTAGACTTTAGTACATACAGATGTGGTGTGGTGTAAGAAGCTGAGCTTTTGGTTACGTTTTAAATCACAGATGGCTTAAAATAAAAGATATTAATAAGATAATACTGTAATATGCTGATCAATTTTAGCTGCATAAGGAATTGTTATTTTTGTTGATTTTTATTTGAGCCATATTTACATGCATGGTCTTAACCTGTCAGAGTTTGGTCAAATCCCTGAAATCACCTAAAAATAGAGCAAATCAGAACAAGAGCACTATGAAAGAAAATGTTCCTTAGGTGTCAATGGTGAACGGGACACAATGTAGTTTCCAAATGGAAACAGGTTTTTGATGATGGTATCATACAGGAGAAACATTTGAAAAATATATATTTCATTTTAATCATTTTGTCTGTCTATATATCTATATATGTGAAGAAGGAATAAGGACCTAAAACTATTATTTGAAAAAATAAATAAATAAGCACTTTTGTCCCTTTTCAGTCAGGTAAGATGAAATCTCATCAAGTTTTTAATTTTTTTTAAATAACCACAAAAAGTATAAAAGTATGAGAAGAGGTATGAAGAGCCTGTTGCTTCATATTCTTTGGCCAGGGTCAACATAGCAACAAAATAATTGATGGATGGATGGATGGATGGATGGATGGATGGATGGATGGATGGATGGATGGATGGATGGATGGATGGATGGATGGATGGATGGATGGATGGATGGATGGATGGATGGATGGATGGATGGATGGATGGATGGATGGATGGAACTTTTACATTATTGCATAGATAATAAATATCCATGACATGTTTTATCATTTGAATTACAGATTTTTAAACTATTAAAGATAATAACCTTACATATTTTAATCTTCGTACAGATGCATATGGTGCCATCAAAAGTATATATTTCAGAGCAACAGGTCAGGTTGATGGGGGTTTTTTTTCTTCCTTTTTTGGAGAGTGTGTGTGTTTGTGTTGTCATGGTGGGGGTTACATTCTCACAACTTTAGGACTTTGATTACCATCAATTAAAAACCTCTCTTGGAAGATCAATTTCCAAAAAGGTTGAAAACCTCACATTGCTTGTCTTGATTAAAACATCAATTAATGCTAGATTTACACTTTTAACTTCAAGCACATGGCTAGGTTTATCTAATGTTACCTTGTTACTCTCCCTCATGCTGTTGACCTTCTAGTTCAAATCTTCCTTTTTCCTCAGCTGATTAACTATTTGTAGTATCTGATAACCCTGCTAGACCTTTTTCAGTCCAATCACAGTTTTCCAGACATTCTGAGCAAATGATCGTCATTTTTAACTGATTTTTTTATTGATAAATAAAACCTAATATAAATCTTTGTGCAAATGTTGAATTGATTCTGATTTGAAAAAATATGCAAATATTAGGATTTTACAGGAGTTTAACGCATATCAGCAAACCATGTGCATAATCCCTTTATAATCTAACTATCAAATGCAAGAACCTTGGCAATAAACTACAATACCAAAATACAATATTTTATTATAAAGTAAATACAAAGAATAAATTATTGAGTAAAGGAATTACTGAATAATAATAATAAAAAAAACTAATAGCAATTTTGAGATAATTTTATCTGTTTAAGCAAGTGTCTCTAACCTTGGTAAGATTATTAATAAAACATACAGGTGCTGGTCATAAAATTAGAATATCATGAAAAAGTAGATTGATTTCAGTAATTCCATTTAAAAAGTGAAACTTGTATATTATATTCATACATTACATACAAACTCATATATTTCAGATGTTTATTTTGTTTAATTTTGATGATTACAAATGACAACAAATGAAAATCTCAAATTCATCATATCAGAAAATTAGAATATTGTGAAAAGGTTCAAAATTGATGGCCCCTGGTGCCACACTCTAATCAGCTAATTAACTCAAACCACCTGCAAAAGCCTTTAAATGGTCTTTCAGTCTAGTTCTATAGGCTACACAATCATGGGGAAGACTGCTGACTTGACAGTTGTCCAAAAGACGACCATCGACACCTTGCACAAGGAGGGCAAGACACAAAAGGTCATCGCTAAAGAGGCTGGCTGTTCACAGAGCTCAGTGTCCAAGCACATTAATAGAGAGGCGAAGGGAAGGAAAAGATGTGGTCGAAAAAAGTGTACAAGCAAGAGAGATAACCGCACCCTGGAGAGGATTGTGAAACAAAACCCCTTCAAAAATGTGGGGGAGATTCACAAAGAGTGGACTGCAGCTGGAGTGAGTGCTTCAAGAACCACCACACACAGACGTATGAAAGACATGGGTTTCTGCTGTCGCATTCCTTGTGTCAAGCCACTCTTGAACCACAGACAGCGTCAGAAGCGTCTAAAGAGAAACAGGACTGGACTGCTGGTGAGTGGTCCAAAGTCATGTTCTCTGATGAAAGTAAATTTTGCATTTCCTTTGGAAATCAAGGTCCCAGAGTCTGGAGGAAAAGAAGAGAGGCACATCATCCACGTTGCTTGAAGTCCAGTGTAAAGTTTCCACAGTCAGTGATGGTTTGGGGTGCCATGTCATCTGCTGGTGTTGGTCCATTGTGTTTTCTGAGGTCCAGGGTCAACGCAGCCACATACCAGGAAGTTTTAGAGCACTTCATGCTTCCTGCAGCTGACCAACTTTTTGGAGATGCAGATTTCATTTTCCAACAGGACTTGGCACCTGCACACAGTGCCAAAGCTACCAGTACCTGGTTGAAGGACCATGGTATCCCTGTTCTTAATTGGCCAGCAAACTCTCCTGACCTTAACCCCATAGAAAATCTATGGGGTATTGTGAAGAAGAAGATGCAATACACCAGACCCAACAATTCAGAAGAGCTAAAAGCCACTATTAGAGCAACCTGGGCTATCATAACACCTGAGCAGTGCCACAGACTGATCGACTCCATGCCACGCCGCATTGCTGCAGTAATACAGGCCAAAGGAGGCCCAACTAAATACTGAGTGCTGTACATGCTCATACTTTTCATGTTCATACTTTTCAGTTGGCCAACATTTCTATAAATCCTTTGTTTTTATTGGTCTTCAGTAATATTCTAATTTTCTGATATGATGAATTGGAGATTTTCATTTGTTGTCATTTGTAATCATCAAAATTAAACAAAATAAACATCTGAAATATATGAGTTTGTATGTAATGTATGAATATAATATACAAGTTTCACTTTTTAAATGGAATTACTGAAATCAATCTACTTTTTCATGATATTCTAATTTTATGACCAGCACCTGTATTGATCATAGAAAAATGGCAGGTTAATGATTTAACTGAACAAAACTTTGGAGGTTTTTTAAGGGTTTTTATTTTAATTTTAATAATTTAATTTTTATAAATGAAAAGGAGCAAAAACTTAGTTTTTTGGTTTTTTATTCTTGACCTGCCAGCTACCATTCAGTACCTATCAGTCAAAACAGATGAAGCTATGCTTTCCTCCTAAAAATGTCTTCTTATGTAGTTTTTCTGGAAAAAATAACAGAACTTAATTAAAAGAATCAAAAATTGTCCTAGCTAAAACATCATCTGTATTGATGTCATATCTAGTTGTTACAGATCTATACACCAAACATATCTGCAAGAACATAAAGGAATAACTTTATATCACTGCATTTGATAACATACAAATTATTAGTAACATTACCAATGGTCTGACATCCATATTTCTACTTAAACTTCATGTTCTAATAGTATGGACATTTTGTTCTCAGCTGGCTGCTCTCTGCCAACGTTCCCTCACAGCTTTGAGCCATGTACTGTATGCTGTGCTTTCATCAAAAGCTACTCAAGTGTGCTTACATACATTGCAGTGAAAGGAGTCAATGCCATCAGCAGGTCCCATCAGTCATCCCCACGGTGCCCATGAGGTCAATCGCTCTATTTGATTGTGAAAAGTTTAATGTTTATGTGACAGCTAAGGCCTGTTTTTATCTTAAATCTTCACCTGGGAGAAACATGAACTAAGATCTTTTGATGAAAGCAAATTTATGCAATTTTGATCAAAACACTAAAACTTAGTATACTTTTTCCACAAGCTTAAATAAGATATTTTCAAACTGACAGAATTAATATGCAGTTCTGACTAATGTAAGATTCATAAGACTGTAGGTGGCTAAAAAAAAAATTACAAGATACACCAAGGTTTGCTGTCCGACCTAAAGGGTAAAACTTCACCAGTTGGAGAATTTGATATTATGAGTGAAATGATGAGTGAGAAAGAATTTTTCAAATAAAAAAAACAAAAGAAATCGCTTCTGTTTATTAAAGCTGTTTAAATTCAGCTGTAAATTAAAACTATTATGATGTCTTTCCTCTTCCTGTTTTGTAATAGACATTAGCTTCCTTCCACGACCAGCGCTGGTTTGGTGCGAGCGAGGAATCCAGGTGCTGTTGACCACTATGGGGGCTTTCGCAGCGTTTTCCCTCATGACGGTGGCCATCGGCACAGATTATTGGCTGTATGCCCGGGCATTCATCTGCAACAGTACTGCCAACTCCTCCCAGGAGGACTCATCCGGCAACAAGGACAAGAAAGACCCAGGGGCTCTCACCCACTCTGGCCTCTGGAGGATCTGCTGCCTGGAAGGTAGAGCTAGTTTCAGTGTTACAGATTAGCGAGAAAAAAAAAAAGGAAAAAAAAGTCTGGTGTGATGAGTGTATGTGCGGTTTCATTTTTTTTCTCTTCCGTGTGTTTGTGTGAGCCCAATGTGAGGTGGTGGGGGTTGTTGAGGTGAATGTGCTCGTCAAAGTAATCAAACCTGACATAAATAGGTGTCCTCTGACTTATAAGCATAGAAATAGCCACACAAAAAAGACTCATGTGAAATGTAGCCTTGTTCTAATGCAGCTCTTTGGTTATTCAATGTTGATGTATCACTGATGGTGGAAGGATAGATCTAATTGGAACCTTTTTGCTGCTGTCATTTTGCATGGATAGAGGATAAACAGAACTGCTTTTTATCCTTCTGAAAAACAACAAAAAATAAGTTCTCTCTTATTGAACCTATCTATATATCTATCTATCTATCTATCTATCTATCTATCTATCTATCTATCTATCTATGTATCTATCTATCTATCTATCTATCTATCTATCTATCTATCTATCTATCTATCTATCTATCTATCTATCTATCTATCTATCTATCTATCTATCTATCTATCTATCTGTCTATCTGTCTGTCTGTCTGTCTGTCTGTCTGTCTGTCTGTCTGTCTGTCTGTCTGTCTGTCTGTCTGTCTGTCTGTCCGTCCAGCCATCTATTAGATACAGAAAAGTTTGACTGATTTGCATCTTTTTCTACAAATCTTCCACCTTAAACTTGCAAGCCTCCCTTACGCTCTCCATGGTGCTGAAGAAACAAGCTGCTTTAAAAGAAAATACAGGTGCTGGTCATAAAATTAGAATATCATGAAAAAGTAGATTGATTTCAGTAATTCCATTTAAAAAGTGAAACTTGTATATTATATTCATACATTACATACAAACTCATATATTTCAGATGTTTATTTTGTTTAATTTTGATGATTACAAATGACAACAAATGAAAATCTCCAATTCATCATATCAGAAAATTAGAATATTACTGAAGACCAATAAAAACAAAGGATTTATAGAAATGTTGGCCAACTGAAAAGTATGAACATGAAAAGTATGAGCATGTACAGCAGTCAGTATTTAGTTGGGCCTCCTTTGGCCTGTATTACTGCAGCAATGCGGCGTGGCATGGAGTCGATCAGTCTGTGGCACTGCTCAGGTGTTATGATAGCCCAGGTTGCTCTAATAGTGGCTTTTAGCTCTTCTGAATTGTTGGGTCTGGTGTATTGCATCTTCTTCTTCACAATACCCCATAGATTTTCTATGGGGTTAAGGTCAGGAGAGTTTGCTGGCCAATTAAGAACAGGGATACCATGGTCCTTCAACCAGGTACTGGTAGCTTTGGCACTGTGTGCAGGTGCCAAGTCCTGTTGGAAAATGAAATCTGCATCTCCAAAAAGTTGGTCAGCTGCAGGAAGCATGAAGTGCTCTAAAACTTCCTGGTATGTGGCTGCGTTGACCCTGGACCTCAGAAAACACAATGGACCAACACCAGCAGATGACATGGCACCCCAAACCATCACTGACTGTGGAAACTTTACACTGGACTTCAAGCAACGTGGATGATGTGCCTCTCTTCTTTTCCTCCAGACTCTGGGACCTTGATTTCCAAAGGAAATGCAAAATTTACTTTCATCAGAGAACATGACTTTGGACCACTCACCAGCAGTCCAGTCCTGTTTCTCTTTAGACGCTTCTGACGCTGTCTGTGGTTCAAGAGTGGCTTGACACAAGGAATGCGACAGCAGAAACCCATGTCTTTCATACGTCTGTGTGTGGTGGTTCTTGAAGCACTCACTCCAGCTGCAGTCCACTCTTTGTGAATCTCCCCCACATTTTTGAAGGGGTTTTGTTTCACAATCCTCTCCAGGGTGCGGTTATCTCTCTTGCTTGTACACTTTTTTCGACCACATCTTTTCCTTCCCTTCGCCTCTCTATTAATGTGCTTGGACACTGAGCTCTGTGAACAGCCAGCCTCTTTAGCGATGACCTTTTGTGTCTTGCCCTCCTTGTGCAAGGTGTCGATGGTCGTCTTTTGGACAACTGTCAAGTCAGCAGTCTTCCCCATGATTGTGTAGCCTATAGAACTAGACTGAAAGACCATTTAAAGGCTTTTGCAGGTGGTTTGAGTTAATTAGCTGATTAGAGTGTGGCACCAGGGGCCATCAATTTTGAACCTTTTCACAATATTCTAATTTTCTGATATGATGAATTTGAGATTTTCATTTGTTGTCATTTGTAATCATCAAAATTAAACAAAATAAACATCTGAAATATATGAGTTTGTATGTAATGTATGAATATAATATACAAGTTTCACTTTTTAAATGGAATTACTGAAATCAATCTACTTTTTCATGATATTCTAATTTTATGACCAGCACCTGTAGTTATCATATCCTTTTCTTCAGTCAGTGAATATATTAGTTGTGCTATGCTCGAATGATCAAAAACTTAATGTTGGTCTTTTAATTTTGCCTCTTTCAAGTACATTAAAGAGATATTGTGTAAGTATTTACTAAAGGAGTATCTTTGAAGTAGCCTTTTTATATGACCCTTTACAACTAAAATATTGTTAAATGAACAGACTGACATCTTAATATGTGTGTGATTTTATCAATTAAATGGGAAAATCAATTCTATAAGCAACATAAGGCTATTTTAGGAAGGAGAACCATTTTAATGATCCCTAATCTTTAGTCCAATCTAACATATTTTTCCTAGTTTTCATCTGTAAACATGACACAGCAGTGAATCAGATCGGGGCAATAAAGAGTAAAAGAACAACATAAAATGTATCACATAAAGTTCAGAGAATGACTAAATGAATCTATTGCACTGCAACCTGAAACCAGATTGTCGACTGAGTCACTTGTAACCTATCCAAAGAAAGTACATGGAGCTGAAAGCTTCTAGCTTCATTTATTGTTGAGAAGATTTGAACTGGTGAATATTCTGGTGCAAGGATTAAAAAAAAGTCTCTAAAGCAGTTTCAGTCATGTTGATGGAAGAAAAGCTGGGCTTCTTGGAAGCCTAGAGACTGTTGATGTACAGAGTTTGATCAAACAACCATTGTTGACATAAGAGTTTATGTTTTGTCGTTAAAGAGTAAATGTATATGTCATATTCAGGTTAAAGCTCCATTATACATATTTAATTATTATTATATATTATTAATAATTATTTATTTTTTTTTTCATTTATTTGTCTCAAATCTGTGCGTGACTATGTGATTTATCCTTTGACATACTTCCCCTACCTTTAATTTTTTTGAAATTACATTTCTAAATGGGATAACTCTTATGCTTTTGTTGTGTACTCTCTACCAAAAGACAACTCGATCCTGTTTTTTTGCTCCTCACATTTTAAGAAGGTTGCCTTTGTCTGTGTTAACCTTGCTGAAGCTGGTTTGATTTCATCCAAATGCAACCTACATACAAATGTCACAGGTATCAGACGTTCACCAAGTCTTATTTTAAATTCCTTATGTTGTTGTTTTGTTTGTTTGTTTGTTTTTTGTTCATGGAGTAATTTTTATTCATTTTAGTTTTCTCGAGGTCGGTAAGACTGTCTAAGTTCTGACTAGTCAGGATAATTTGTTTTGGGTCTGAGGTGCTAGACATAAGTAGACATTCATTTGGGGAATGTAGAACTTGGAATAACTGATTGGAATAATCCTTGTTTTGTTTGTTTTTGTTTCCTCCAATAGCAACAGTGACAGTGGGGGATCTGGTCCTTGATTGTTAGGTTAGCTGCAGATGAGAAGAAAGTATTTTTGTGGTTTGATGTTTTGGTGCTGATGGGCTGCAGCCTCCTGCAGGAGCAGATAATCTGAAACTGCTTTTCTGCAGACTGGTAGGGGCTGACTGCAATTATACCTGCTTGCCTCTGGGTCCTGGAAGTGTACAGCTTCTGAAGAGAATTGAGCTGATCACCCTCAACAAATGGTATGCTGCAGTCTGTCCTTTTCCCTGGTGGTGGCTGCAGGATACTAACAGGGGAGGACATAATGGACTCATTTATGTCTTTGGTGGGCTAAACTTCTATATTTGTCAACATATGTACAACTACTGCTGTCCCTTCTTAGTGAGGAGGAGATGTTCAGCGCTTGATCTCCTGAATGATGACTGGAAAGTTGCACAGGGTGGTGAGGGTGAAGCTGTGCTCCGCAGCAATCTTTACTTCTGAACACTGAGATCCAAACTGTTCTGGCAGCACCACGTCACCAGATGATCAATCTCTCACCTGTGGGCAGAACTAACCCCCTAAGAGAGGAGCCCAATCAGTGTGGTGCCGTCAACAAACTTCAGGAACTTGGCGGACTGGCCTGGAGTTGCAGCTCTTGGTCTCAGATGTTCTTGATATGCATGTAAACAAGACTGGAAGCAACTTTGTCATTACTAACAGAATGACAAAAGAAAAGACAATTTCCCCCAATGCAACACATCTTACTAAAATGTTCCCCAATTACAGTTCTGTGGTCCAAGCTAGATTGCGGCCTCTACTTTAGGTTTAATACAGCCATGCGTGGCGACATAATATGGATAGATTTGCATTGCAGTGCTTGTTAATTTGCTTCAAACCAAATGAAAGCAACTTTTTTTTTAAATTTGCTTAAAATTAGATTTTTTGTTGAGAGAAACATCTATAGTGGTTAGTGACATAATTTCCAATTTGGAATAACTTTTGGAACAAAATAGCTGCATTTTTCTTAACATGAAAAGGCATTGAGAATGTTTACACATGTGTTTACAATGTTTACTCCTTCTATATGTTGTTTTTCTTTTTTCTAAACCTAGGGTCTGTGGGCTAGACTCCCCCATAGGGTTAGCCAGAATAGTTTTTACAAGGGGGAAAAGACGGATGGAATATTAAAATCAACAAACTGTGAGTCAGCAACTTTCAGCATGTCTTATTTTCATGCAGAACTTTAATGCATCAAGCATAAACAAGCTTTAACGGGTATACACTGGTGCAGGATGGAGAAGTTCAAGGGATCTTAACTGTTGACTCTCAGTACAATCAGTAGAACCAGTTTGGCTTATTTGCAAGTCATTTTATTTTTTTTTTTTTGATTGACCGTATTGATCTCAGTGGAGAAATGTACTTGTTACATAGGTTCAATAGTCAAAAAGGTGCCAAAAGAAGGAAAAGGTGCTTGGAGGTATTAAGTAGTAATTGCACATTATATATTTCACAAGTTATTGCTGTTACAGTGTCGCATTGTAGAGTCTGAAGGAAGCAGGAATAAATGACCTGCGGTAGCACTCCATTTTACAAACAGGGTGTAAAAGTCTTTCACTAAAGGAGCTGCTCAGCTCCTCTACAGTCAGGTGCAGGGGGTGAGAGGTGTTGTCCATGATGGATATAAGCTTGGACAGCACCCTCCTCTCAGCCACTTCCTCCACTGAGTCCAGAGTGCAGACTAGGACAGAAACTGCCTTTCTCACCAGTTCAGTCTTTTTCTGTCCTACTCTGCGCTGCAAGGGGCCCAACAGACAACATCGTACAGGAGAGCTGATGCCACCACAGAGTCGTAGAACGTTTTAAGCAGGGGCCTGCTCACTTCAAATGGACCTCAGCCTCCGCAGGAGGTTGAGGCGGTTCTGGCCCTTCTTGTACAGGGCGCTGGTGTTATGAGTCCAGTCCAGTTTATTATTGATATGAAAACTTAGGTATTTGAAACTCTCCATCATTTCTATGTCCTGCACCTGGATGTTCATGGGGGAGTGAAGAGGGGGTCTTCTCCTGAAGTCGATCACCATCTCCTTGGTCTTATTGGTGTTAAGACACAAGTGGTCCTTTTCACTTGATAAGGTGGGAGGCTTTGGATTTATTGATTATGATCTGTTTGAACCCCTCCCCTCCAATTGTTGTTTTCAGAGAACCAGTGGTTTTTGAGAACAGTATTTTGGGATCTCACACCTTCCCTTCTAAACTTGTAGGTTAACAAACTCAACAGCTCTTTTTAAATGCCTTCTCCTTTTCCCTCCTTACTTGTTTGAGTTACCTGTGAACTGTGTTTATCATTGTTATAACTGACCCTGGTAAATGTTGTACTGCGGTCCTAATAGCTGCTAATGTAGGACAGCAGAGCATTTGTAAACCCATCCAAGTTGTTGGTACCAGTCCTTAAAACATTCCACTTAGTGCAACATGCCTAAAGATCTTCTACACTAAGTCCTTTGTTATCTTACCAAAACTGTATGATTTTTTAATGGAAGACACAAGCTTCAAGCTAAACATATTAGAGATCAATTAAGGAAAAAATATTCTACATGTGTGTTTCCAAATCCGACCCTCTAGCGCTGATGCTCTGCATATTTTAGATCTCTTTCTCTTCCAACACTAATGTACTACTTCCTAGTACATTGTTGAAGTCTGCAGAGAACTGTTGGCTCATTTAAATTTGCTGTGTTGAACAAAGAAAACATATTAAGCATGCAGAACCAATCCTGCGGAGAGCTTATACCATTCAGATGCAAAATGTTCTAGCCTGAAATTAGTTTTTTTTTCAGCTAAAGCAGGTCTAGACCTAAACCTGAGCATAAAATAGCTGTTGTTTTTGCAGACACAGAATTATCTAGAAACTTTTTTATCGGTATTCTTGATACTGCTCTTGTATTCAGTATTTAGGAAGAGTATTAGGTATAAAGTTATACCATGCTACTTTACACATTTGTTTCTTTTGCAATTTTTATAGCAAAAACTTAAACAGAGTAAATGCGTGAGACAAATTCATTTAGTCTTTTCCTAACCCTTCTTTTTCTCAAAAGGGTAAAAGACCATAATTACAACTGTGAGAAAGGGAGAGAAAGATAGGCTTATATATAGATAGAAACTTCACCATATGTACTGTGGTCTGAAAAAAAATAAATCAATTAACCATCTAAAGTAAAATAAAACCTCAGTTTCGCTCATTTAAGTATCCAAGTCTGAGATTTGTTTACGTTTAATGGAACTAGAGTCAGAGCAATTCTTCGAAATACATTTTTATTTTGAAAATATAGCCTATCTAACAGTTTTGTACAAAGTGTTTATCTGTATCCTTCATCGTTGTCTTGTCTCTTTCTCTTCTTTATTGCTGTCAGGCTTGAAGAGAGGTGTGTGTTCCCAGATCAATCATTTTCCTGACGACGCAGACTATGACCAAGATGCTGCAGAGTATCTGCTTCGTGAGTAATGCTTACAGAATGCATCTTAAATTTACACAAAAAAATGCATTCAGACATTAGATAACAGCTCAATAGCATACCCACACACGGCACAGCAAACGACAGATACACACAATGGATTTAATCACACACAATACGGAAATGACAGAAGGGGATGGTGGGAGGACATCAATGCACAGATGTCATTTCAAAGCAAAGTGTCTCTGAAGGTGTTAGTAAGTTTGTCTCTGTGCAGGGATATGGATGTCCATGTTTAGGAGGTTGGTAGTCTGGGGGTGTACACAAGGTTGAATTTTTTCACAGATGGATTGAAGGATTGCATTCATGCATTAATGTGATTTAAAGATATCTATTTAAAAGAAAATCCTGTTCTTTATTAAAATCTCTTTAATGTAACATTGTATTCAATTGAAAAGCATGTAACACATGGTTTATTTCTTGTTATTTCTCAAGATGGTGCCAAAGAAAATTGACAGATGCATTACCTTGCATTGATAAAATCATAGAATAATAAAAAATAAACCAGAATAACATTGGGTTTTTTCCTAATTTATTCTAGAGTTGGCTCAAATCATTTTCACTGTCCTGACTGATGTTAACCGGGCATTTATGTTGACCCGTCCATTGTCCTCGTAACATCATTACTGTTTCTCCCTCCTAACATAAATCTCTGCTTGAGGTTAACATTTCCACCTCTTTGCATATCATCGAGGTCATCGACATTTTCTGAAAATTCTCAACCTTCTTCTTCTTCTTCCAAGTGCAGTGGCTTGAAGTAAAGCCAGAAAACCTCTTTGGTCCAGTCTGACAATCACGCCTTCTACTAGGCTTTCTCTCAAAGCACTGGATGTTTACTGGCAATATTAGGGTAGCTCTTTGCCTTCTGTATGAGGGTGCTTTTTGGTTTTTATAGCTCCTAATTTTAGTGAACCTTTGTGAGAAACAGAATCTTAAAAATGTTGTTTGATTTTCGTTCTGTTGTCTACAGGTGTGGTTAGAGCTTCCAGTATCTTTCCAATCCTCAGTGCCATATTGCTCCTTTTGGGAGGAGTCTGCGTTGCTTCCAGTGGCTTCTATAAGAGCAAAAGGAACATTATTCTCGGTGGAGGAATCCTTTTTGTAGCAGCTGGTAAGAATGCATCTTTGCTGCGGGTATTTCCATACAGTGTAGTAGAATAAACTATTCATAGCGATACATCTGTTAATGATGTACCTATCTGTGAAACATACAATGAAATTCTTATTAAGTCTGCCTTTTCCTATCTAACTTACAGTAAGTTTTTTTCAGTATGTCAACAGGCAAAACAGTTATGTAAAGCTGAGAATGATTTGTCTCAAAGGAAACATTAGATGTTTGTGTATCTCCTTAGGGCTTAGCAACATAATTGGCGTAATAGTGTACATCTCAGCAGCCCTCAGCGACATTTCTCCAAAGAAAGATGAGGATAAAAAGTGGCACTACTCCTATGGCTGGTCCTTTTACTTTGGTGGTCTGTCCTTTATCCTGGCGGAGATGGTTGGAGTCCTGGCTGTTAACATCTACATCGAGAAGAACAAAGAGCTGCGTTGCCGCTCTCGTACTGACCTGTTCAAGAGCACCACCCATGCCATGCTGCGTCTGCCTAGCTACCGTTTCAGGCGACGCTCCCGCTCTAGCTCCCGGTCTACCGACCCGACTCGTTCACAGGAGACCTCACCTGTTGGAGCTTCCAAGACCTTCGCCCTTCCCCCGTCTGCTCCACCTTTCTCCGTTGCCACTCTGCCCAACCCACACCACACCAGCAGTGGTGGGAGTGGTGGGGGTGGGGATATCTCCATGTATACTCTTTCAAGGGACTCCAAGCTGGGCAGCCTGGGAGGAGGTGCCCCGCCTCTCTATGGCACAGTGGACCGGGCCACGCTCTATCAGCTTCACAATTACTTCCCAAAAGATTCCAGTGGCAGTGGTGGAGGAGCAGGAGGAGGAGCTGCGATAAGCAGTGGTACACTCCCATCTCACTCCAAGTCCAACCTAGCGGCGGCGGCAGCTGCTGCCAATGCAGCGCCATTGAATACCTCCACCTCTGCTGCTGCAACAGCACAGTCAGCCCCAATTTCAACAGCTACAATGGAGCGAGACAGGGGAAACGTGGGAACCCTGGATCGACTGACAGCCAAAAGGGACAGAGATAGCAACTCTGATACACTTAACAGGAAAACAACTCCTGTTTAAAATGAAACCTCACAGAGAAGGGCTACAAAGTCCTGGAGATGTTCAAAAAGGTAGGGCTTCAAACGGGTGGGCAACATTTCAACAGTAAGGGTTAATGTCCTTGAGTCTGGGATATCTAACTGCCATAGATACAATATAAATGTATCATAAACAGTCATAAAACACCTAATACTGTGTGCACATGTATTACAACTGCCTTAAAACTACTGTGCAATATAATAATAACATTTTTAAGTAAGTTTTCTCTAGTTTACCTTGATCTCCTTTTGCTTTTCATCCAAAGTATTATACAAAACGGCCAATACAGCTAAACAGTACAGTTTTACCTTAAATTTCCCCTGGTTTAAATCTGTACTTTCCAAAGAGAATTACTAATTCAATTGTCCCATCCGGTTTTAAAATGTTCACAATAGTCCTGAAACACTCAGAAATGACCAATAATATGTGCCAAGATGATAAAAGCCATAGTTTTTTCACATATCTGTTTCAAGGAACATAATGTCATAATTTTTGCCACGTGAAAAGCTTTTCAGCTTTTCAGGGACCAATTCTAGATCCTTAGTGGCTACTTGACCTCTGGTCCACAGAGTATGACATAATTTATTCATATCTGCCTTTTTTAAGAGTTTTAAGAAAAAATCCACCGTTAAATGAAAGTTACTGTAGGCCACATGTGCAGAAAATCTGAAGAACAGGGATTAGGAAGGTGCTATGGTGGCATTAGAGTGTTTGATGATGGCCAAAACACATACGGAAAAACCAAAAATTCCCATCATTGTCCACAGATTGAAGCAGTGTGGTCACAGAATGATGATTATTAATTTTATTAGCAAAATACTGTATATTATCTAGTTAGGGAGTGATCATAACTGCAGTGAAAACGAATGAGCAGCTGCACTTTTGACTCTGCTCATAAATTATGATCATCGTGTGTCACCAGGAAGCTCCAAGTCAATGAAAGTTTAACTTTCATAGAGGGAATGTTGTGCACATTGTGTGATATTTAATTGCTTAAAATGCTTTAGGGCTTTTTATGACTGCTTATGAAAAATAATTAGATACTGAAGGCTCAAAGGCAGCATCTGTTGAATGTTCTTGCTAAGGGCTGATAAGGCAGGCATGAGGGATGGGGTTGGAATCAATTTACTCTCAGGGGGTGAAATTTTATTTATCATCAAAGGTTGGAAATTACTTTCAGGTGTAGCCCACAATGAAATATTGACTTATTCGAGTAAGTGTGGAAAAAAGTAGTATCAAATACATTATTGAATACGAGTAGTGAAAGAATTTAGTTGAATTTTAGGTGAACACATTTTACAGGATGTGTATTACCATAATTGGATTTTCCAGAAATATTTCTCTAGTATTGTTTGAATGGCCACAGGGTTGTATGGAAACCCAAATGCACTTTTAAATGAACTAATAAACCCAACACTTGTTATTAAGAAGGCAGAAAAAAGTTCTATAGTTCCTCTTCCCTCTGTCTTTCTATAGCTCTAACTATATACTGTTTTACAAAGTAGAATAATAAATGTAAAATAAAATATAATATCTAACTATTAAAGTATAATAAACTTTTCATGTCTGTTGAAGATAAACTTTGAGTTTTGACATTTTTTTTGTGAACATGGTAAGTGAGCATCGTCTCTAGGTTTCAGGAGGTTGTAACTTCTTAAGTGTTCTATGATCAAACTGGTTGTTGCAGGGTATTTTTATATTTTGAAAGTTCTTTTTTTTTATTTTCCAAATCCTCTTCATATATTTATTCTGCTGTTTTAATGCAAAAATAAGTAGTTTTGCATAAAGTGGGTGTAGAGAGATAGGTTATTTGGTCTACATTTGTTATTTTTGTTCAATATTATCTTTATTGTTGTTTTTGCATTTGTTTGTGCTTGGAGAGTTGACTGAGCATGCATGCTCTATTTGATCAACGCCGTGCTTTGGCCAAACACACTGAGACTGGAGGCTGCCCATTAACAACCGCAGTTTCTGACTCGTTTATAAAACTGGATCAACTCGGGGTTACTTGCTGTGCTCAAAAGCACAACAACATTTTCTTTTACAGCTTTTGTTATTTTCCTTCAAACCATCTATGGTTTTAATCATTTTATGGTGATAAACAGGCACATTTTTGTTTGTTTTTAATTCATTTAATTTTTTCTACTTTTTTAATCTATAATTTAGTAGAAGTGTAAAAGCTTTCTCTCTAATGGGTTTCACTTTTTTACATTTATTGGATTATTTCTCTCAATTAACAGTGTTGGCATTTTTTCTCTATTTCTTCACTTTTTTCTCTTAAGTGTGTATTTCTTAATTATTTTTGGTTAGCGTCTGTTTTTATACATTTCTTGTCTTTCTTCCACCCATCTTGTTATTATTTCCTTGTAGGAAATGCATAGATCAATTGACACATAACCAACGTAGCCTAAAAATCAGTGTTTTTTATTGTTCTCACCAGTGTATACCTGTAGGTGATAGAGTTTATATCAATATATTTATTTTGGTGGTGGTATTAATAGATATTCTTAATGTTCTATTGTTTTAGAGTTCCAGTACTTGTATCTTGGGACTTAACAGGTGACACCAGTTGCTGCAACAGATAGTTGATAACCTTAGTGCTGGCGAAATGAGCTACCTGTGGTCTGTGTTGGTGATGCTAAATGTCTTCAGAGAGTAAATGTTATGTACAACAAAGTATGTCTGTTCTTTCTAATAGAGAAATGTATGTAAATACTGTGAAGTATGTCTGTTCTTTCTAATAGAGAAATGTATGTAAATACTGTGATGTAGGCGTGGCCCAGTAAAAATATTATAGTTTCATGAAACTGCTAGATTTACAGAAGCAGTTGAAACAAAATTGCACAACATAATCCAATAGCTAGTATCATTCAAAGCAGAAGACTATAGATAGATATATTTTTTTAGCAGTAATAGATGTCACTATTACTGCTATAAAAATACCATAGTAATGGGTCAGAGTCCTTCAGTTTTTATTCTTTTTTTCTTGCAGGGAAAGGAAAAGATTGGAGGTTTCTTTCAGCATTCCAGATTCACAGCAACATGTAGGGGAGGGGTATTAGCTGCGTATTACATCGTGTTTTATACAAAAAGGAGAATTTCTCTTGCAGTTTCTCTGCCATTCAAATGTTTTAAATTGTAGAAAAGGTCTGACATTTTAGTGGTTTTTAAACTGTAATATTCTCAATCCGTTGTATTTCTGGATAGCTGGTCCCACTCCATGCCTACTGACATGTGTCTAAAGTTACATATCTTTGTGAAGTGTTAGTAAGAACTGCTCGATTTTATTTTTTGTATTTTATGTTAATGTACTGATGTTAAAGCCATTCTAAAGCCAATGTAAAACTGAGTTCCCTTCCCAGCACTTTGGCTACCGACGCAAGTCTGAATTGAAACTATTCAGAGATGAACCTTCATATTTCCTTTCAGCAGATAGATTCAAGAAAGGGACACTAATGACAAAGGGAAGCAATACATTATTCAGATCCTCTCTGGAAATGACAAAAAAACAAAAACACAAGGCATATATAAGATATAAATATATAGATATATTCAATAAAGTTCTCTACGTATAATTTGTTGTGTTTGGTGATTTATTTACTGTAAATGTTCCAGAAATGCTGGTTGTATGGTGAAAACAAAAACATCCAAAGGAAGAAATGATGTGATTTTAGATGAAAAACCTCTCTGGAGACCCCACGGAATGAGAACAGTTCAGGCCCAATATGTTTTTAATCCTTCAGTAAATCTACAGTCATACACCTTAGGCACATGTGCTTGGTTACCAAACTATGTTTAACTGTGGGTTTGGTGTCAAAGGTTTAATTGGCTGGCCCACGTCTGGCAACAGGAATGAGAAAATATTTTACTACAGTATATTATATTTCTTTACTAAACTCCACTTTCATAACCCTGATATGTGAAAAATAAACTCACTGTTATTTTCCTAACTTAGATCTATTTTTTTCAGATACTGAAAGTTGGGAATGAGAATCTGTTTATTTGTTCTTGCATGAAGCTTTTGTCAAGAGCAACAGTACAGTATGTACTGACCCAATACAGCTAAAGCTGTTGCCAACATTAAGTTCTCTTATTTGAACATTGGCTCCAGTCTAAGGAGCTCTACCTGTGACATCATTACAACAAATTTATCATAACCAATAGTTGATAGATTTGGGCCTTGATTTTTAGAATGTATTTCCTGAAGTATGTCTAGTTATTTAGAGATAGAGTCTACTGTAAAAAGTCAGACTTCAGGAAAACATCCCAGAATGATTTCTGTTAATGTGGGAACCATTTGATCTCCTCCACATTAATAATGGATTATTTAATATGCCAAGAAAAAGAACATTCACAACTTGCACCATAAATGTTTGATATGTCTAGGTTAAAATATAAACATATTTACAGGCTTAGAATCTATCAAAGTTTGCAGATGTCACTATAGCAAGAAAACATCACCAAGTATAAAAGAGGACCAAGAAACAATCCACTATCTCAAAGAAGGGTGTGAGACACTGGCAGGAAAGGAATAGGTGGAACATCATAACCCAGTGGCTGGTATAGTATACATAAACTTTTGTGCAGAATACACACTGGAGACCCCCAGGTCAAATTGAGATTCCCACACCCCAATGTGGTGGAGAATGAAAGAGTTAAGATCCTGTCTGGCTTCCAGATACAGAAAATGGTTGTGGCCATCTAACCTGGTGGACAAACAGAACATTTATTGGAAACGGAAATGCAGTGAACAGCGTCAGCGTCTAAGGCAGGAACCTCTGCAGGAGGAGCCAACAGGTTAGTGACCATGTCTCATCTGGAGGTGAATGATAAACATGTGAGTCACTAACCTGGTTTTATAATTCAGTCCAAGCTCAGAGGGTGAGATTGCTTCCAGCCGGTCGGTTGACAACAAGGCACGGTGGGCGACATCCCGAGAGTCCAAGACCCTGATGTATCGGTGATTGGAGGAAAGGCAGGGGATCAGAATCAGAAAGCCAAAGACATTGTTGGTGACGTGCTTGGTTGTCAGAGCCAGGAGCTCAGAGATGCAAAGAGGTACCAGGGAAGAATCCAAAACGGTGTTGGAAAAACAGTAACAGGCTCAGTTCACAGACAGGCAGAGATCCGGCAGGAGTCCGAAGACATATCAGGCAAACAGATCAGAATGGGGACAGGCAGGCTCAAAGGTCGAGAGACAGAAAGGGGCAGGATCAAGCATTCAGAAATAGAAGAATACAAAAGAAGTTCTAACCACTGGCTCAAAATAATCTGGCACTGATGACTAGTCTCAAGGCTGGTTAAATAGAAACTGAAGCAGGTGGATCAGATGAGTGGTAATGAGAACTGGTTGGAGCTAGACAGGTGAATAAAAAGAGTAACCAGACCAGACATCAGTACCAAGATCATAACATAAGCAGCATAGGACAGACATAATGACCGATGTTGCCATCCAAAATGATGGTAACATCAGGAAAAAAAGAACTTGAGAAATTGGAAAAATACCAAGGCCTCAGGGAAGAACCAGTGAGAGCCTGGAAGGCGAAGAATCTTATAGTGCTCATCATTATCAGAGTATTCAGGGCAGATATCTTGGAGAACCATGAGACATCTTAGTCCAGAAATGTGCAGTTCCAAGGACAGCTAAGATTCTGCAAAGAACCCTCAAGGTCCCATGCCTATATATATATATATATATATATATATATATATATATATATATATATATATATATATATATATATATATATATATATATATATATATATATATATATATATACTGTTTATATATGCATAAATTA